TACCAAAATAACAAAGATTTTAGCCTTCACACCAGTAAGTCCATTCGGCGTCCTAAAATGGCTGCCATTTTGGAATTTATTGGTATCACTCACGTCTCTGTCTTGCATTTCTATGGTCTGTCTTAAGATGTAGACCAATTTTTTATTTACTATTATTACTATTTTTGTAAATCTTGCCTCCCCTACTTTCATCATCGCAAAAAGAAACTCGTGGTTATATCTCTTTATTATTCACAATAAATACCGTTTGACCAAATTCTGTTTATAAGTAAATAGACATATAAATGCTACAGCGGCATAACTTTTCACCTATTTTTTGTTTTGTTTATGTGCTTATTCTTTTAATCCAAAACAAACAAATCTATGCCCAGAAATAAATGGATTTGCTTGCCGTTGTCACTAAAACTGAATAGTGTGAATTATACTAACGATGTAAATACTGAACATAATGATCATTATGGTGGTCACGATGCTGTTGATGATAACAATGTGGAATGTGATAATTATTAGAGACCAGAATAATGATAATAAAAGTCGCATTGTCGATTAAATTGATAATGATAATGATAAACTAATGCACAAGAGTACATAAAAAAAATCTTTAAAATAACCGATAAAATAAGTTTTGGTATTTCTGCTCATGAAGGTATCAATAATCGAAATAGAAATAACAGTGATAATAGTAGTAGTACTGCTGATGGTAATATTTCAACAATAATGATGATAACAACACTAGTCATATAATCAAAGATAATTACGATATTGATAGTAATAATCATTATTATTTTTTATTTTCATGGCGATGATAACGAGGATAATAACAATAACGACAATAAATATGATGATAACAATGATGATAATAATAATGATACTAATGATAATAATGATAGTAATGATAAAGATGATAATGATGATCATAATGTTAGTGATAATAGTAATAATAATGATAATAATAATAACGATGAAGACGGGGATGATAATAATATCAATGATGATAATAGTAATAATAATTTTCAAGAGTAATAATGATTTCGTTGATTATGACTACAATGATAATGTTAATGATATTAAAGATCATTGTAATAATAATGATCCTAAAGATAATAATAACAATCATGATAATGATAATGATGAGGATGATGATAATAATAATAATAATAGTAATAATAATAATAATAACAATAACAATGATAATAATAATAATAATAATAATAATAATAATAATAATAATAATAATAATAATAATAATGATAATGATAATAATAATAATAGTAATGGTAACTATAACAACGGTGATGATAATGCCAATAATAAAATTAATGATAATAATAATGATAAAATTGATAATAACATTAGTAATAATAATTTGTAATAGTAAGAGTAATGATGATGATAATGATAATGAAAATAATGATAATAGTAATAATGATAATAGTAATAATGATTGTTATAATGATTATGATAATATCATTAACAATAATGATAATAACAATAATGATGATGATAATAACATAACTATAATAACAACATTATAATCAAGCATGATTGTAATAACAATGATAGTAATAAAGACAGTAATAATAAATAAACGACTAGCATTAAAAGTAACACAAAATGATAATCATGATAATGGCAGTGGTAATGAAACAAGCCTAATAATCATAATATTTACGACTAGGGGGGGGGGGAGGGGACTCGCCAATTCAGCCTGGAAAAAGGTCATAAATATACAAAAATACAGAGATAAATGAGTACTGTGCGTGATTATTTCATTTTACAACTCCATTATGTATTTTCTACTCAGAGAAAACTACAAATATATGAATCAGTATTATATCAATTTCAAAAAGCTTCCGTCCATAATGAAATAAAACCTTAAAGTTCATACAAGTCAATGCTTTCGGTTCATATACATTTTTTTTTCAGCGAACCTTCTTGCTAACCTGCGTTCAATACCCGCGCTGCCAGTGGATGGTCACCCCTGCCAGTGGATGGTCACCCTGCCAGTGGATGGTCACCCCTGCAGTGATGGTGGTCACCCCTGCCAGTGGATGGTCACCCCTGCCAGTGGATGGTCACCCTGCCAGTGGATGGTCACCCCTGCCAGTGGATGGTCACCCCTGCCAGTGGATGGTCACCCTGCCAGTGGATGGTCACCCCTGCCCACATCACATTCACACGGGGGGTAATTTAAAAGCAAATAAACAAACAGCATGTCACAGCAAAGAATATCCATGATAACAGATGGAATTAAACTAAATCATCCTTATATTATTACAAAATATAGAGTTCGTCTGTGAACCTATTCTGCCAAACTATTATTGTCAGAGACGTCACTAAATGACTTCTCTGACAATAATAAAAACAAAATACCTAAGAACACTAATGACATTCATGGTACTGATGGAAAGACGTTCATAAGAAAGACAAAATGATTTTAAGTATAATTAACTCTTACCTTTTTCTCTCACGCACACGAATGTAAAAGCCCATTCGAACG